GCCCCCCCCCGTCCCGCCCCGCCCCCCCCCCCCCGCCGGCTTCCCCCGAGGCTTTCAAAGCTGCTGCGGCTTTGCTCCTGGTGCCTCTGGTCTGCTGGGGACCGTCTCCAGCAGACCAGGGACACCGGGAGCAAAGGAGGCGGAGGGGCGCTGGGGTATAAGACGAAACCCTATTTTTTAACTAAAAAATTAGGGGGCCGTCTTATACGCCCAGTCGCCTTATACGCTGGAAAATATGGTATTTTCTTATTTTTTTTCCCAGCCAGGGGCAAAAATACCAGACTGTCCAGGTCAATACCGGACACCTGGCAACCCTACAACACAGTCAGCAATTGGGCCCAGCCCTCCCATCCTCTGCCGCTTACCTGGTTCTGCAGGGGAGCTGTCTGGCCCAGAGTAGGGAGGCAGGCAAGATGGCCACCAGCTGCCAGTTAGGAGAGGCAGAGCTCAACCCCTCCTGTTTTTAAAGGGGCCATGCTGGTTTTTAATTTTTTTTTTTTTTTGCTTAATAATTCACTGGGTCTTGTGTGTGTGTTCAACAACTTTGGTCCTCCCCCCCTTTTTTCCATCTGGCAACCCTACTTGTGGCCCCCAGAACAACCTTGGCCACGTTGAAGGAAGTCACGTGGGGAGGAAATAGCTCTGCAGCTCCCAGCGATGCCAATGAGAGACACGTGGCAGCTGATTTTCTGCTGGGCACCTCCAAGTGTCAGGGCAGCTTTGCTGCAAACTACGTCCCGGCCACGTGGGTCCCTAGGTTTGTCTCTCTTCTCTGAGCTCCTCTCTTGAAGGCAGCAGGGCTTTTACTTGTGATCCCTTGGCCTGCCAGTTCGCAGCCTGAGCTGGCAAACCAAGCAGGAGCCAAGTTACGGGAGCAGGACAATGCAACAAAGGCGCAGGCATCAATTCCAAACAAACAGCTGCTTGGTGCCTCCATATGCCAGTGACTGGCTCTGGGCAGACTCCCAAACCACAGGCATTCCCACTCAGCTTCCCTTTGCCCCCATAAGTTGGGCAAGTCCCAAGAAAGCAGCAGAGGGCAACACGAGCCCACCAGGAGATGGGACCCTTCCGCACACACCCTCCGCCGCATGACAATCTCCCTCAGAGCTGGAGCTGCCATCCAGGTCTGGTGCTGCTGGCCTAGGCGGGCTTGACACTGTCACGCTAATTCTCAGCACAAGGAGGAGAAGGGGCTTTGCACGGTGACAACCTGCTTGCAGCTGCTCTCTCTCCTGGGGGGGCACAGCAGCCAGCAGAGCTCCTGCCTGGAGCTCACAGTCCGGTTACGAAGAGGCAAAGCAGGCAAGAATTGAAGCCTTCGGTGTTACAGTCTCCAAGAGAGACCAGCCCTGCCCCTGCTGAAGTTCGGACAGGGAGTCAGGAGGAGAAGGGGCTTTGCACGGTGACAACCTGCTTGCAGCTGCTCTCTCTCCTGGGGGGGCACAGCAGCCAGCAGAGCTCCTGCCTGGAGCTCACAGTCCGGTTACGAAGAGGCAAAGCAGGCAAGAATTGAAGCCTTCGGTGTTACAGTCTCCAAGAGAGACCAGCCCTGCCCCTGCTGAAGTTCGGACAGGGAGTCGAGGCC